AGAATCTACCTTCTTCAATACCTTACACGGCGGATAACACCCACCTCGATTTGCATTATTCTTCAGACCATACTTAACCTCGTCCAATAATTATTTAACAATTAATGAATGAGGCTGAGTATTTTATGAAGAATTATGGAGATCGAGGAGGGTGTTATCCGTCGAGGCGTATAACACCCTCCGAGATCTCCCTAATTCTTCACATAATAGGAAAGCGGAATTCACCAATTGTTTTATTATTCATTCAAAGTAATTTGCAGTTTATAAACATAGCTAAAACATGCTCACCTCAATCGATGTTAAGTTCTTCTTCGATAGTGCACGTTTAGGGTTGTTCAGCTCCACACATATTCTCCAAATAGCAAATGTCGCCCTTCAAGTTGTCTTCTTGCTGTTTTTGCCATGCTTTTAGCTATTATTTCGCCTAGTTCTTACTCCTGAAACGAGTGAAATGTCCGCATTTCTTGTTTTCACAACCAAAGCAACTCAACCTCATCCCCAGGTCTTCTCGGTTAACGGACCATCCTGCAAGGAAGCTACACTTTTGACGTCATCGGTTGATTAATCGCAAAATTTTTTCAAATTTGGTCATAAGTAACTGCAAGAGAGATGCGTGTGCTTTTAGCCAATCAGAATCGGGGAATATTTTGAATGAATAATAATACATATTCATTCAAAATAATTCATACTTTAAAAGCATAATAATTAAGAATTGTAGTACCGGCAGAAGGTTCGTAGAAATCAAAGGGAGTAAAAGAAGTAACAAGCCTTGTATTTTTGTTGAAGAGGAACCTATTAACTCTTAGTTAGACTGGAAAACCCAAACAAGAAATCGTTTTAACCAAGTCATGACTCGGAGGTTCCATATATGCTAAATAAGCGTCTCCTATAGCCAATCGCGAAAGACTTCTCAGGTATTGATACGAGTTAGGCGGGAGAGTGGGTTTTCTTGTGAAGTGCCACAACGTTATCGAGAGATTTAATCGTCGCCAACGAGTACAGAAAATCGTAAAAATCAAAGGCGGTAAAAAAAGAAACAAGTCTTGTGTTTTTGTTGAAAAAGAACCCATTAGTTTAGTCTAGACTCTCGGTTTCACAATTTCCCATTATTTTTTGTTCGATCGAAAAGCAAATGTTATAAAAACTTAATGTTTTATGCATACTTGATGAATATGATTTTAAGCCTGGGCTTAATTGCTTGAAGGCAGCTGCGCTCGAACTTAACTGCCAAATTATGCACTTTATGATCGTACTGCCAAAGATAACATTTCACGCATCAGTTTAGTAAAATTGGCATTAACCACGTATTTTCAACTATATTTTTCACAGTCTTAGAGCTGCTTCAAACAGTTTACAGAGAAAAGACAGAACTACGACTGGTGATAAATTGATAGTATTCATAGATGAAAAACTTTCCCGCGCTCTGGAATTTTATCATGCAGTGCAATTTCCTCTTGTCCGGAGAGCCACATTGATAGATACTTACTCTACTCCTTGGCGTTGAATTTTTACTATTTATTTGACACAAATTTCCTGAACATACGTTTTGAAATGGGAGTTTTGAACACATTAAAATACACTAACAGCTCTACACTAGTGAAGAATAAATAACAATTATAGTAATACTAATAATAATTTTACTTATTAATAATAAAAATGAATAATCTTGATATGTATCGGTTAAGCAATGACAATGCAAGCAGCAGAAGTTTTAGACTTGATTTCCCTTAGCCTTATTCGGTTCTCCTTTATCTTAAAAATTTGTTTGATGCCCTCCAGTGGAGGTGTCTGTGGCCGAGCGGTTAACTCCTCGAAACATGTCGAACACAGGGGTTCAAGCCGCGCCAGTCGCGTTGTTTTCTTAGACAAGGAACTTCACTATCCATTTTTTCTCTGTTCATCCAGGTGTATAAATGAGTATCGGCGACATACAGCTGGGGGTAACCCTGAGATGGACTAGCATCCCGTCCAGAGGGGAGAAGCAATACTTCTAAACATGCTTCATGCTGAGGAAACCGGGATAAGCTCCGGCCGTTTGGACCTTTGCCAAATAATACAGTCCAACATATATTTCACCGCTCGTGCGTGCCTTATTAAACCTTACGTTACCTTTAGTGGTCGGTGCATGATAAAATTAACTAAGGGATATCTTATCAGGATTCAATGTTAGATATCACAAAGATACATTTATTAATTGTTTAAATTTACTCTGCATTTTCAACGTCTAAAATAGTGGTCAAACAACTTTCTCCTTTCATGAATTCGTTGTGATGAACAACTTAAAAAAAGACTGATAAATTGTGTATTTCTTATGTGAATACTTTGCGCTTCCTCAGGAATCGATCTAAAAATACTTTTCGTCGTTGTCTGAATTTTGAGGAAATTACTTATCTATCCTCCTTATTTATGGCGTTTTCATTTAGTATGTTAGTCTTTCCTTGTTGTCGATCGAAGTTAAGCAGTTGATAGTTTTTAAATAAACAAACATAAAAAAAAAAAAATAAAAATGATGGAATATATCTCCTAGTTATTCTTAAGTGTATACCGTTAAGATTGACATCTACTGTTGTAACTTCTGTTGTCTGGCACGTATCGCCTTCTGTGGAAAGATCTATCCTTCCTGAATTTGCCGCTTACCAAATAATCACTTCAATTAAAATAATTATGGAAGCTCAAAGGGTTCTGGAGTAAATAGTCTGCACCGTTTCATATGAAAGGAAATTGACCCGATCTGTCCGTAATTCATTTATGCAAAAGTCTAGCCAATATTATTTTCGATTAACTCCTTCTGTAGATCGACTAACTGACATGATTTTGAAACTGTAATTTTTAATATTACCTTGCCCCCTGTTATTGTTTAAATTTTGTTTAGGAGCCAATACTTTGTTCTCTCTCATTGCTACCCCGTCCGTGCCATTTCGACTGGACAACACAAGCTTTTAAAGGGCTTAAAAGAGAAATTATCAAAGAATTTCTTTCAGACAAAATAAATAACTCGAAGGTTCAATGCTAATGAGTCTCTCCTAGCATATTACAAAAGGCTTACTTAGGCATTGATGAGTTACCATAAATGATCTAATGACTAACTGATCATGACACCCCCTTTCAAACAAACGCCTCCTGGCTCATGCCATTTAATAAGCGCCGCTCTATAATATTATGTTTGCATCAGACGCTCTCGCTTATAAACATCCTTTGTCTAGTAGACGCCCCCATGAAAACTATTTCAAAAATTGCTATAGAAATTAGCAAAAAAGATCCAAATCATTCAAATTATTCAGTTGCCTTCTTGATTAACAAGACTTTGAGCATTGCATCTTGTTCAGTGTTTCAAAGTTCCTTTTAAAAGTATGAATTGATTAGAGATGACGACACAATGATCCTGAATAAGGATTCTGACATAGAAGTTGAGATTTGAAAGAGCGCGGATAAGGATCTTTAGGCGGCCT